TTTTTTCAATCTTCCTTCATAGATCATGGTTACTAGACCTTTAATCATTTTTGTTGCTCTTCTCTGGACTTTCTCCAATTTGTCCACATCTTTCCTGAAATGTGGCACCCAGAAGTGGGCACAATACTCCAATTGAGGCCCACTCAGTGTGGAGTAGAGTGGAGAAGAATTACTTCTCATGTCTTACTTGCAACACTCTTCTTATTATAGGATGTACTAATGTTAGCTTTTTTTTTGCAACAGTGTTACACTGTTGACTCATTTGGCTTGTGATCCATTCTGACCACCAGATCCCTTTCTGCAGTACTCCTTCCTAGGCAGTCATTTCCCATTTTGTATGTGTGCAATTGATTGTTCCTTCCCAAGAAGAATACTTTGCATTTGTTCTTACTGAATTTCATCCAGTTTACTTCAGACCATTTCTTCAGTTTGTCCAGATCATTTTGAATTTTAATCCTATCCTCCAAAGCACTTACATCCCCTCCCAGCTTGGTATCGTCTGCAAATTTTAAAAGTTTGCTCTCTATGCCATTATCTAAATCATTGATGAAGATCTTGAACAGAATTGGACCCAGGACTTATCCCTGCAGGACCCTCACTCAGTATGCCCTTCCATCTTGACTGTGACCACTGATAACTACTCTCTGGGCAGTGCCAGCTCCAGGCACCAGCTTAACAAGCAGGTGCTTGGGGGCGGCCAAGGGAGAGGGGCGGCACATGCGGCAATTCGGGGGCGGCAGGTCCCTCACTCCCTCTAGGAGCGAAGGACCTGCCGCTGAACTGCCGCCGCCGATCGCAGCTTTTTTTTTTTTTTTTTGCTTGGGGCGGCAGAAATGCTGGAGCCGGCCCTGTCTCTGGGAACAGTTTTTCCAACCAGTTATGCACCCACACTATAGTAGTTCCATTTAGGAGCTAGGCGCTAAGTGGTGTTTCATATGTCAATTAATTTGGTCTAAAAGCCCTACATTTTTTCCTAGGCTACGTCTGTGCTACGGGTACTATAGTGGCATAGCTACTGCACCATGGCTATGTTGGCATAACCTTGAGTGTAGACCCAGCCTGCAGCGAAAGAAGGGATTTTTTCATCACTGGAAGAACATCACCTCCCCAAGAAGCATTCTTCTGTCAACCTAGTTTTGTCTACACTGAAGCGTATATTGACATAGCTATGGCACTTGGGGTGTGTTTTTTTTCCCCCACACAACTGAGTTATGTAGCTATGTCAATGTAAATTTGAGAATCAGGCTTGCTCTACACTTAAAACTGATATTGGCATAGGTATGTCGATTAAGAATGTGCTTTTGTTTACTATAGAATTGGTTTATAAGCACTGGTGTAGATGCACTGCTATAATTTATAATTTATGTCTCTCAGGGAATTGGAATAAGCTCTACTGGCAAAAGATAGAATCATAGAAATGGAGGGCTGGAAGGGACCATCAAGTCAGGCAGGACCAAGTAAACCTAGACCATCCCTGACAGGTGTTTTTCCAAACTATTCTTAAAAACCTCCAGGATGGATACCACAGCCTTCCTTGAACTTAACTACCCTTGTAATTGGAAAGTTTTTCCTAATATGTAACCTAAATTTCCCTTGCTGCCAATTTAAGCTAGTTACTAGTTCTCCTAACATCAGTGGACATGGAGAACAATTGATCACTGTCCTCTTTATAACAGTCCGTAACATATTTGAAGACTGTTATCAGGTCCCTCCTTAGTCTTCTTTTCTCAAGATTAAACATGCCCAGGTTTTTTTTTAGCCTTTCCTCATAGGTCAGATTTTCTAAATCTAGAGAGTCTCTAGACTCTCTCCAGTTTGTCCACATCTTTCCTAATGTGTAGTGTCCAGAATTGGACACGTTATTCCAGCTGAGGCCTCACCAGTGCTGAAGAGAGCAAGACAATTAACTCCTGTCTCTTACATAATACATTCCCGTTAATACACCCTAGAATATTAGCCTTTTTCGCAACTGGATTACATTGTTGATTTATATTCAATTTGTGATCCACTACATCCTAGATTCTTTTTAGCAGTACTACTACCTAGCCAGTTATTTTTCATTTTGTAGTTGTGCATTTGATTTTTCCTTCCTAAGTGAAGTACCTTGCGCGTCTCTTTATTGAATGTCATCGTGTTGATTTCAGACCAATTCTTCAATTTCTAAGGTCATTTTGAATTCTAATCCTTTCCTCCAAAGTGCTTGTAGTTCCTCTCAGCTTGGGGTCATCTGCAAACTTTATAAGCATACTCTCCACTCCATTAGCCAAGTCATTAATGAAAATATTGAATAGTACTGGACCCAGGACTGACAGCTGTGGGACCTCATGAGATGCCCCCTCTCCCTCCAGTTTGACAGTGAACTAGTAATAACTACTCTTTGGCCTGGTCCACACTACCCTCCCACTTCGGACTAAGGTACGCAAATTCAGCTACGTTAATAACGTAGCTGAATTCGAAGTACCTTAGTCCTAACTTATCGCGGGTCCAGACGCGGCAGGAAGGCTCCCCCGTCGATGCCGCGTACTCCTCTCGGCGAGCTGGAGTACCGGCGTCGACGGCGAGCACTTCCGGGATCGATCCGGGATCGATTTATCGCGTCTAAACCAGACGTGATAAATCGATCCCAGAACATCGATTGCCTGCCGCCGGACCCTCCGGTAAGTGTAGACGTACCCTTTAAGTATGGTCTTTTAACCAGTTATCCACCCACCTTATAGTAACTTAATCTAAACCACATTTCCCTAATTTGCTTATGAGAATGTCATGTGGTATTGGGTCAGAAGCCTTATTAAAAATCAAGATAGAACATGTCTACTGCTTCCCCCCATCCATTAGGCCAGTAACCATGTCAAATTAGGAAATGAGATTTGGTGTGGCATAATTTGTTCTTGACAAACCCATACTGGCTATTCCTTTTCATCTTATTATTCTCTGCCTGTATAAGTTTATCTGTACTAGGAGGATTTGCCAGCGTAACGTTTCTAGTTTTGATAAGGACTAAGTCAAGTTAGAAAAAACCTTTACCATCTCTGTGGGGCTGAAGAGATAAGGAATGTGTGACTTGTTATGGCAATACTAAGTCATATTTGTTTATTGCCATTGGCTCATCCTGTGAGCTGTTGTTGCAGTATGTCAAAATCTCCCACAAATTTTCCCATATCATTTATAAATACTCATTTAAAACCAAATAATTATGGGAAATGTTCCTAATTCCTTCACTCGGCTCATTATTTTATGAGTTATTAAATAGTTATCACACTTAAGTGTAGAGTTCAATGGCACCCTGACCTTTTTTTGTTCCCTATTGGCTAAACAGACAGAGGTGACCGAATAGACATAGATGGCCACTAGACTAGTCCTTGCCTATTTTTAAGTAACTATTTCAACTTTTTAGCTATTTAAATTATTTTAAAGAAGGGAACTGAATGTTCTGAATGAGCGCCTGGTCGACTCTATGCTTAAAACCATAGGCCCCAGTTCTACTCTATTACACCAGTCCAGCTATATAGAAATTGGCCCACAGTCTGATAGGTCTTCAACTTTACCAGCACCCAGGAGCACAGACTTAAACGTTTTCCTGGCTCCTTATATTTTTCTTCTAAATTACGTATATGGTTTTCATTGTCTGAAACCTCAGATTAGTGTATACCATTAGAAGATTTATTAAGACATTAGACTGAAATAACTACCAAACAACAACTACTTCTGTTGCACCCTGAAATTCTGCTGAGCTGCTAGCTAGTCACTCTGGCCTGGTGTATGTTTAAAAGTTGGGTCAACATAGCTACGTTGGTCAGGGGTTTGATAATCACATCCCTGACCAATGTAGCTATGCTGACTCACCCCCAGTGCAGACACAGCTATGTCAATGAAAGAATGCTTCTGTCAATGTAGGTACCATCACTTGGGAAGATGGTGTTCCTACTCCAGTGGAAAAACCTTTCAGTGTTACCTATGCCTACTCTATGGGGTTATGCTGGTATAGCTAAGGCAACATAGCTATGCCAGTATAGTCTCTATAGGATAAACATACTCTCTGGGTGGGAATGTCTAATACCTGACTATTGGCTGAGTCTGCCGAGCTTGCTTCTTGATTTTTCCGAACCAGATTATCCAAAGGTTTGGGGTTTTCCCTGAGACTTTAGAATAATTTAGTTTCTACTGTATTATATTTTTAAAGTTCTTACTGTTTCAATTGGAATAAAAAAGTGTGTAGCTTACTGGCTATATGGAGTGTGCCTGATGTGAATTGCAAAGATAATGTGTTCAAATCCAGTTACGATTGTACTTTTATTACACACTTTGTTCTCACTTCATTAGTGAGATTATCAATTAATTCTTGTCACTTTTGTAACAAAAATAAAACATGAAAACAGTAGAGTTAAGCTTTCTCTGACCTCTTTCGACTTCTCTGTCTGTCCTTAGATTGTGAGCTTCTCAGAGCTGGGACTGTCTCTGCTTTGAATGTTTGGAAAGTACTACCATAAACTAATAACAGAGCTTATCATTGTTTACAGCTATAATATAGGCAAGGGGTTGTGTGTCCTTTAATGCAATCAAAATGTCCAAGAACTCAATTATTTTGGACAAGATATTGTCATTTTTTGAAATAATGAAGTTAAAACTAGTTGTAAGCATATCACCAATAACATAAAACTGTAATTGATTTAAATAGTGCAAAATCTGACCATTAGTAAGCAGCTTTAACTGCTCATACAAATAATTAATACCAGAAAATTATTTGATGTATTGTTGACTTCAGCCACCTACAGGAACATAATCAATTAATCAATTTAAAAATCATGCTTATATCTGAGGTGTTTTTTGTTTTTGTTTTAACTTACTACTGTTAAAAGCAATACCTAAGATTATTATAACTAAATTACACCTGAAAAAAATTAAATTTTTTGGTTTGTTTGCTTTGACTTAGTGAATTTGTTATGCAAAATGCAATAAAGTTTTAAACAATATTATACTGATTTTTTTTTTTTTAATTTCAGTTATAATACAGGATGAAAGATCCCAAAAGACGTATGAAGTGGTTGGATGTTTTCCATTGGTTGGCCCTTGGTGGAAAGTTAATGTTAAAGTTAAATTGGTGGACTCAAAGTACTTTGTGCAAGGATATCCGTCATACTTCCTACGAACCGATATAAGGGAAAACCAAAACGCAGTTTTTTCACTCTTTTTTAAAGAGTGCTGTGTTCCTGACAATTTCAGAGAGGAGTTTTTTAAGTGTTTTCCTGAGAGATCTGATCTGAACTTCAGAAACCTTGAAGAAAAACTTAATCAGTTTCAAGAGTCAAAATTAAATCTTCAGCAAGGGAACAAATCTATTGAGACGAAAAATTTTGATATTTTTTATTATATTATGCAATCATGTAAGTATAATTTATATATTATTGGATTATAAAAATAACAGAGTTATGCTTTTAAGATGTTTTATCCATGCTAATGTGCTGGTAGAGTGTGTTTTTAAATGAGTATTGATCCCGCAAAGATTTTTTCCTGAGCACATAAAGGGGACTACTCACATGCTTGTAGTTAAGCATGTATGCAAGTCTTTGCATGACCTGGGCCTTATACCATATAGATGGAACAGGAATCAGTTGCAGAAAAAAAGTAATAGTGGAACTCACTTAAATGAAGATCTGTTAAGAGTTAACTTCCATTTCACTCAAAAGTGCTGGCAGTTCTGCTTAACTTGACATTTTATTGAACTGAAGGATGGGTGATGTTTCAGGTTACCAGGTTTTTATATGTTGCGCACACATCAGGGGAGGTAGACTTGACTACTAATGTGAAACTGACTATATACAAAATTCTGTCAAATACACAATTTAATCAAAGTGGAAAAATATTTTTTAATCTATTTAAGTAATCTTACTCGTATCAATAGTATATAAAAGCTTTTTCAGACAGAAAACTAAAGAACCAGTTCTATTTAAGTTTTTTGGAATAAAGCCTGCTAAGCTAAGTAATCAAATTGTCTTCTACAAACACTTTTTGTATTTTAATAAATACTTTCTTGGTTTGTGATGAATATATAGTTACAGGAAAGACTGTTTTGGTAGCTTTGAGTTTCCCAGTGATAATGGAGTTCCTGCCAAGACTTCTACCACGTCATTTTTGCAATATTATAGAGGGGGTGAGCTGGCATAAAGTGACCAAACAGAACAGCAAAAGTGATGAAAAAGTTTCTCCTGAAGATGAGATACTACCAAAATTAGATGAGATGTTAAAAAAAGAGCCATGGAAACTTGGATTCAGCAGGGTAAGTAACATGAATTAATTACATTTTGATCATCATATAATTCAATACTATTTGTTCAAACTATGACCTTTGGTTATTTGGATGGAGGCTTATTCTTTTTGAAGAGAGATAATTTTTCTCTTTTCAAGACCATCCTGGGCAGCTGCACTAAATAGAAACCTTCTGGATATGTCTGCAGTACTTGTAGTGGGGCTCGCACCAGTGCACTAAAAATACCTGTGTAAATGTTGCGGTTGTGGGGAAGAGGTGTGGGCTTCAGAGCCTGAGGTTCAGCCTGAGACACAACATTGAAGCACTATCCACACAGCTTTAGTGCTCTAGTGCCAGAATAAGTCTGTGGATCCCAGGCTGTAATGCTCGCTTCCAGATGCAGTGTAGACATACTCACTGGGTCCAGAAATACCTTATCTAACCTTGTTAGTATTCGTCCTAATCACTGTGCAACTGTTTCTAATATAATTTAAATATAAGGGAATTATTCAGTTTCTTGATGTACTCCATGGAAGAAATGGAAATTGCTTTCAGATTGGGTGAACACAGGGAGTTTCATATAAAAGATACTGAGCTCCTCGAGATAATCTTGGTTTCCCACTTCAGTAAGGCACAGTGAGGCTGAATAAAGGTGTTGTGACAACCATAGTTAAGAGTTTAATGTTTAATGTTAATGTAGATTTCCATGTACATATCTATATAATGAGACTCCAGAAATGTCACTGTGTGTCACTCTGAAGCCTAAAATGTCTGAGTCCGTGTGAAGCGATGGAAACAGCTACAAGTGTGGAAGAGAGGTTTCTTTAGTTTAGAACAGTGTTTTTCAACCTTTTTTTCATTTGTAAACCCCTAAAACATTTGAAATGGAGGTGTGGACCCCTTTGGAAATCTTATACATAGTTTGCAGACCCCTAGGGGTCCGCAGCCCACAGGTTGAAAACCACTGTTTTATGGTAACGACAACCTTTCGCGGACCCTTTAGACATAGTTCGCAGACCCCCGGGGATCCCTTGATCACAGGTTGAAAACCATTGTTTAGAATATCACCAGATTCAATCATCACTGGAATTCATCGTCTGTTAACTTAAAAACTGGATTGCATCAGCCATTTCTGGCTCTTATGAATTACGTGCCTTTATGAATTATACCCATGTGATAGCATGGGCTTTCAGCTACTAGTATTGCATACCAACTTACTCTACTTTATATTCTGGCTTCTTCAGCATTCTCCATATATTCACATTAGCTGTTCTTCTTAAGTCAACATATTTTAGAGGTGAGTCATTCCTCTGTAGTTTGAGTTTTGTAGCTTACTTCCCATTATAAGCAGAGCTGGCTGGGAAACCAGATTTCAGTTCTGCAAAAATTTTTGAGTTTTCAGAAAAACTTAATCTAGAATCCTAACAAAAGTTTAAAAAAAAAATTGAAATATTCATGGAACTGAAATCTTACAATATTTCTTTTTAGAAACACTGAAATGTGGTATATTTCATTTTGGAAACACTCCTAGGATCCCCAGCTGCCTACCTTGTGGTTTGCAGGGAGTCAGGGACCCTGGAAGCTGTTGACTGAAATTATTGTGATTCTTGTTAGTTTCACTGCTGCCCATCACTGAATAGCAGCAGTGAAACTGACCAGACTCTTATTGTCATGTCAATAGTTACTTTCTCCAGCGCCAGATTCTTGGGAGTCAGGCAGCTTGGGTTACCCGTTGGCCTGAAAGTCTTGGGGTTCTTGACTCTGAGGCAGTCCACACGGTAGGCTGACCCAGAGTGGCAGACTCTGGAAGCCCAGATCCCCAGCAGCCCACCAGACATGCTGCAGGACAGCTGGGTGTGTGACCTGCTAGGAAACAGTTCAGTTTCAAAACCTGGCTGGACAATAGGTTTCCATCGGAAATTTGTCAGAATCAAACTTTGTGTAAAACATTTGATTTTAATCGAGTCAGCAAGTTTAGACAGAGTTTTGTTGGAATTTTTCCAACCAGCTCTAATTATAAACCAGATCTCTCTCTCTCTCTCTCTCTCTCTCTCTCTCTCTCCCCCCCTCCCCCTACCTCCCCTTTTGTTTCACATTTGGTTAACTAAAATACAGTGGTGGAAGCAAAGCTGTTAATATGTGTGGATAGAAATGCATAGTATAGATTTAAAAAGCAGTAGGATCTGAAGGAATATTATATTTGGTAATTGCTGAGTTTTTTATTAAGGACAGACAAGTTTGTGTAGGGGAAGATTAGCATGTGAATAGAATTGGAAGGACTGAGTTATTTGGTGTTACGAAGTGTTTGGTTGTATGTGATGAGGTGAATGAATCTGTGTAGGGTAGTGGAAGCCAGGAATTGACCTGAGTAGAGCTGGTTGGAAATTTTCTGATAAAACCTTTTGCTGAATCTGTTAAAGATTCCACAAAACTTCAGTCAAAATGCTGGCAGGTTTCCCTGCACTGTAGGCCTCCCTTCTCCTTCGGCAGCTCTGGAGGCTGGAGAGGCACATCCCCCATGCATGCTACCTCCCTGCCACCCCTCTATTTTTCCCCAGCTCCAGGGGACAGGCAGTGTCTGTCTGGCTCCTGTAGGGTTGGTGGGAAGTCAGAGTTCCCTAGGCTCTCTGCCTCTCTAACAGCTGGGGTGGAAGGCTCTTGAAATTGACAAGAGCATTTCTTGAGTGCAGCCAAGATGCCAAAAAATTCCCTCTTGGTTTTCCAGAAATGGATTTTTTTCTTTACCCCTCCCCCCCATTTCTTGTATTTTGTCCTGCTTCTAAACTAAACTTTTTCTTAAAAAATGCAAATATTGTCATGGAAATGGATCACCTTTTTTCAACCAGCCCTTGTCTTGAAAGCTCTTGCTTAAAGCACGCTTTCACCTTACCTCTACTGGGGAGAAATGAGCAGGAGCCACTGTGGACAGGGACTGACATAAAAGCCTTTAGATATTTCTCTTAAAGGCACCATTTAACTGTTTTTTGCTTTTTTTCCATAATCTTCTTGACTGCTGTAGTTGGGCAGGATGATGATGAAGGGCACATTAGACCAGCAAAATAGAACAAGTTGATTAGTGCTCTAGAAGAGAGGGAAAGTGTGCATGTGTGATAAATAGTGGGAGAATGATTTCTTGGCCTAAACGTTTTTTGTTTTTGTTTTTTTTTTTTAAAGCTAACTGAGAAGTTTGCCTCTAACATTTTACATGGCTGTCTGTCTTGTCTGTTTTTAGATTGTAAACTCTTTGAGTTAGGACTAAGTTAACCTGTGTTTTTTCATTTTTAGCACAGCAAAATAGAAACACAGTTTCAACTTTTAATACTTAACTTTTTTTTTTTTTATTTGAATTTGGTATCGAGATATCAATGCAGTATTGGCTTGCCAAAGTACGATGCTATTCAGTTGACATAACGTTGTGGTATTGTAAATTTACTTTTTAATAGCAATAGGCCAGCACTAAACTATAAGAAATAAAATCATTCTGAAAGGGAATATGGTAATGAGAAACTAAGGGTTTTTTAAAATTATTTTTTACATTCTTTACCATTGTTTTTCATCTGTTAGCTTTTTCTCAGTCTCCTCTCTTTTGACTGCAGCTCCACTAAATGTGTTCAATTGCATGTCATTGAACAGACTCTGCAGAGCTGGTGTGTACATGTCAGGAATCAATGGAGCAGTCACCTTGATATTTTACTATGGAGATATCTTAATTTTCTTTTCAAATTTAATTTACTCTGTTCCCTTTTAAAATTTGTTTCCAGGTAACTTTATAATATCCTTTTAGAACACTTGTATGTAAAATAATTTATTGAGAGGTCAGTGCATACTTTTTGTGGGAGGGGGGTGTTTACGAACAAAGATCTCAAAACAGAAACAATTTGGTTCTCGATCACTGTTTTACCATTGACTAGTCTGTAATTTCAAAATGGCTGTTTTATGAACTCTTTCTTACAGGCTATTGGTCCTTAAAGTGAAGTCAGCTTTTGCTATGTGGATATGAATTATTAGGGTGTCCAGTCCCATTTGAGTGCAAATAAAATAATCCCACCGTTTATAAGTAATCCAGTTTTCCTAAATCTTTGTTTGCTCTATAAGAAGAAAGGGAAAAATAGTAAAGCAATAGATGTAAGCCCACCAAAAGGAAGGAAAATGTGAATTAAAACCATTTCATCCTACTTTGCCAACATATTGCAGCGAATGAGATCTTATTTACGTATAATGTGTGCTATAATGTGTACACATGCACTCAGATATTATCACATGTATTGTATTATTATTCTGTAGCAGTTTGCTCTTTTATTCGGCTTGGTGATAGTTTGGGTAGAATACAGATTTGATACAAACCTCTTTTCTAGTACCCAATTTCTGTTAGTATTTTTTTGTACAATGATTCAGTTTTCTACAGCAAAATGACAGATGGGATTGATCAAGCCCCCCTTGCTTTGAAATTCCTTGCTGTGTTTGGTTTGAGAAGGTAGTATAGCTAGAATTTGTTAAAACGTACATATTGTCTGTGCTGCTTCATATCTTTTGAATTATAAATTTGTATTTAATGACAAAAGCATTAGTTCTGCAGTTACATACCAATGTCTTGTGAAATAATTTAAACTTTTTTTCCCTTTTGGTGGGAAGATAACCTACAGAGAACTGAATCTTTCCACTTGTGAGGCAACTTGGGCAGCCTTCTGTCAGTGTGAGCATCTCCTCTGGAAGATTCCTGAATTGCAGAAGAATGCATTAATAATATACGATAAGCTCAAGCAAAGATGTAGAGAAATGGGGCATACCTATGAAGAACAAGACATTTTGACTTCTTTAGTTTCTAAAGATATGCCCATTGAACATGCCTGGCAATCCTTGAAATTTATGAAAGATGAGAAAATAATGATTGGTGAGAAGAAACTGGTATTTCTTTCTCATCTTTACAAATCTGAAAAAGACATTGCACTTTCTGTAAATCATCTAATGAAAAATGACCCATGGCAGTTACCTGTTGATGTGAGAAAAGTACTTAATGTTAGAGATACCACCAAATCAAAAACAAATGGAGATATTAAAATAAATAATAACCAGCCTCCTGAAACAGAGCAAGTGGAGGGCAGTAATGCCCCAGATATACAAAACAACAGTGACAGTGATTTTCTTTATAACGAACAGGTACCAGACATAGAAACTATAAGTGAAGCAGAAGTGGACCCAGATCAAATGAAAGCTGTGAAAATGATTTGTTCTAATCCAGTGACAATCATAAGTGGAAAAGGGGGTTGTGGGAAGACTACTGTAGTTAGCTGCCTTTTTCAGTATTTAAAGCAGGTGGAAAAAGAAGTGGCAAGTGCTTGTAATGATTTTGAAAAGGACCTGGATGCATCTGCTGAATGGAATACCTTTAATCATTTTTGTCAGGAGAACATTTGCACAAAAAACCTTTTAAATGTTTTACTTACTGCACCTACAGGAAGAGCAGCTAGCCTGCTGAATGAGAAAACAGAGCTTCCCGCTTACACTCTCCATCAGGTATATAATATTTGTGCAATCTCTCTAAAACGATCTTTTAGTATAGTCCTTCTTATTTTGTACAATAATCAGATTGCTAACTGAACCTCTCTTATAAATCTTTTAACTGTTCATAATGGCGTTTAATAAGCACAGCTTGTCCACATTTAAGAGTCAACCTTGTTTTTCAAAAGTCTACAAGTCAGACTTTTTACATCATGTCAGCTGCAATTTTTGGCCTTCTTTATTTTAAATGTGCATTACAGTACCTTCTAGAGGCATAAAAATGATGAGGGGCTTTCACGTGACTTTTTTCACCAATTCCACATATCCTGAAAAGTCTATAGTACTGTATATACTTGTTCATTAGCCCGTTTGTTTATAAGCGGACCCTCCCAAAATGGTTAGGTAAAAATATCAAAAACTGTATGACCCTTTCATAAGCTGACCCTATATTTCAGGGGTTGGAAAACTTTGGCTCCCGGCCCGTCAGGGTAAGCCACTGGCGGGTCGGGACGTTTTTGTTTACTTGGAGCATCTGCAGGCATGGAGCCCCTCAGCTCCCTGTGGCCGCGTTCCCAGCCAATGGGAGCTGCGGGAAGTGTCACCACTTCCGGCAGTTCCCATTGACTGGGAGGCCGCGGTTCGCCAGAGAACATAATAAAAATGGGTGTTGCCATTCCAACTCTAACAAGACTAATCAATTAAGGTGGGCTATTATCAGCAGGAGTAAAAACTATTTCCCCATGCTAATTTTTTCCATACTGTTACTCATACCTTCTTGTCAACTGTTTGAAATGGGCCATCCTGATTATCACTATAAAAGTTTTTTTTTCTCCTGCTAATAATAGCCCACCTTAATTGATTAGTCTCTTTAGAGTTGGTATGGCAACACCCATTTTTTCTATGTTCTCTGTGTATATATATCTTCCTACTGTATTTTCCACTGCATGCATCCGATGAAGTGAGTTTTAGCCAACAAAAGCTTATGCCCAAATAAATTTGTTAGTCTCTAAGGTGCCACAAGTACTCCTCATTCTTTCTGTATAAATAGTTTTAGTTGATTCTGCTCTGCTAAAAATGTGTTCTGGAGATGTGTACATGATTATTGGAGAGTAGGATCGAACGTTTTGATGCATCAGTTTCATCATGTAACTGAGATGATGGCTGTGGTAAATACAGCATGGAAGATCCCACATTTTACTTGTTATAAGAAAGTTATTTAAATTTGATAACTTCAGGTGTTTCTTGAATGGAAGTTAAATTATTTATTTTGATTGATTTCTAGGTCATCTACAGTTTTTATTCATGGAGATTAAGAGATGGACGAATGCCGTGGAAGTTTTCTACTGTGACAGTTCTGGTTGTGGATGAAGGGAGCTTAGTACCTGTACAAATGCTTAGTTCAGTTTTAAAATTGCTATGTGACCACGCTCAACTTGCCAAGCTTATTATACTTGGTAAGTGAAAAGCAATAGTGTAAATTTAGTCTAATTTCAAAATATTTCCTGAGTTATTCATAGATTCATAGATTCTAGGATGGGAAGGGACCTCATGGCAGGACCAAATACTGTCTAGACCATCCCGGATAGACATTTATCTAACCTACTCTTAAATATCTCCAGAGATGGAGATTCCACAACCTCCCTAGGCAGTTTATTCCAGTGTTTAACCACCCTGACAGGAACTTTTTCCTAATGTCCAACCTAAACCTCCCTTGCTACAGTTTAAGCCCATTGCTTCTTGTTCTATCCTTAGAGGCTAAGGTGAACAAGTTTTCTCCCTCCTCCTTATGGCACCCTTTTAGATACCTGAAAACTGCTATCATGTCCCTTCTCAGTCTTCTCTTTTCCAAACTAAACAAACCCAATTCTTTCAGCCTTCTTTCATAGGTCATGTTCTCTAGACCTTTAATCATTCTTGTTGCTCTTCTCTGGACCCTCTCCAATTTCTCCACATCTTTCTTGAAATGCGGTGCCCAGAACTGGACACAATACTCCAGTTGAGGCCTAACCAGGGCAGAGTAGAGCGGAAGAATGACTTCTCGTGTCTTGCTCACAACACACCTGTTAATGCATCCCAGAATCATGTTTGCTTTTTTTGCAGCAGCATCACACTGTTGACTCATATTTTGACACATATGCAGGATGTGAGAGAACTTGCTGGGTGCTAGTGTGTTTTATAACGAGTGGTAGTTCCACGATAATTAGTTGAAAGAAATCCAGCAGAGGTATGATAGTTTACCTGTGATCATAATGAGGCTGTAATCTCTAGGGCCGCCTGAAAGGCATGTTCTATTCCATGGATTTTGCCACTCTTGCCATAAAATCATAGATGAGATGGAAAATAATTATATCATCCAGCCTACCTCCCTGTCAGTGCAGGATTATTCTCTATTGTATATTTCCTAGCGTTTTGTCTGGTTCTAAAAGTATTCGATAATGAGGCTTTCACCACTTACTTCCCTTTAGATTTTTCAACAACCAAAATAATACATCTTATTGTTAGTAAGTTTTCCCTCAGTTCTTTAACACAGCTTGAGTGAATGTTGACAGCATATAAACTGGACAGAAGAAAAATAAAATATTTGATTTTAAGGTAGTTCAGACAGTCAGATTCGGAACTAACTTGTTTTTAATCTAACAAATAGAACAAAGTACCATGAAAAGAAATTAGGATTTTGTACCCCTGTGCCCGTTTTTGGAGATCACATTTTTGTCCCACCAAAACAAATACCATGATTTAAATGTATAAATTCCCGTAGACAAGTCTGATTTAGTGTTGACATTTACCATAGAGAAGAGACTTAACAGGATGGCATGACATCGAGTACTAATGGCTGTTTGAATTGGGAATATAGAATATGCTCTGAACAATGATTTAATGTATTATATACTGAAGGGAAGATAATTAGAACTATGCAACAACCTGATTCAAAGAAATTCCATTTTGGGATTCTTGGTGAGAAGCATAATTTCACAGAATTTGTATTGAGCATACATGTGATAACTCTGTCTTGTATTCTAATAGAGGTGGAGAGCATATTTCTTGTCACTACTGTATTTTTGGAATATTTCCCACTGATATTCTGTTTACTATTTATCACTGATCACAAATGCTATTAATATATCTTCTCTTTAGGTGATATCAGACAGTTACCCAGCATTGACCCTGGCAACATGCTCGCTGATATTTTTGAGGGTCTAAAATCTAGAGGCTGGTCTGTGGAACTGAGAACTAATCACAGAGCTGAGTCTCAGCTAATTGTAGACAATGCCACAAGGTAGGAATTTTTTGTATATACTGGAGGATTTTTTTTATAGAAGTCCTGGTCCTTTTATTCAGTCTGCAAAATGGTAGTGGCCCTGAGACATACAATAGAATTATGTGACTCAGTGTTCCTGTTGAAGATCTCTCGTATTCTCGTGTTTCTGTCTAACTTTGGGAAAGAAATTACAGCTGAAACACCGAGGAGCAATTTAAACAAAAACATAGAGTAAAGTATGCAAAGTTTTTGAATGATAGAAGTTGCATATTAAATAAAAAGAACCCACCAAAATTGGAGACTTTTTCTTGTTCACTCTTTATAAATAAAACATTTGGTCCCACTGACGTCAGTGGGACTATTCATGTGAGTTAGTGTTTGCAGGCCCTGATCCTGTGAACACTTAGGCACATGAGTAGTCATAGCGCCATAGGCCTTGATTCTGCAAACTGCTCTGTGCAGGGAACCCCTCATGAGCAGCTTGCAGAGTGACCGTTTTGTTTGTAACTGGTTTTGAATTGCTGTACAAAATTGGATAAACAGGTTCAGTGCACTTTTCTTTATTCTGACCTTCCATTTGCAATTACACCTTATCAATGGTAGTTTACCACAAATCCATGATAAACAGAGTGGATAAAGTCAATGACATTAAAAAAAACACAAAACTTTCAAATTTAATTGAAATACATTTGTCTTCTTAAAATAAACCTATTTACAAATGAAATTTGCAGTGATGACAACCTATGATCAGGCCTAAATTTATTATAAACTATTAAAATAATTTAATTAAAAACAATATGTTGTAGCACTCAACCCTCCTCAAATGTTAATGAGTTAAAGGTTGCCTGCTCTTTTAACTATATACAGAATTGGGGGGAAAACATCTTTAACTTTCAATTCATGCTTTATTAATATGCCACAGGGTATTGCAGTAAGTATCTACATTATTTTCAGTCTTTACAAATGGGGCGAATAAGGTTGCCAACCCTCCAGGTTTTGCCATGAGTCTCCCGGAATCGGGCTCTATCTCCCAGAGGTTACTGCAGCCAAACTGGGAGATTTTTAGGCTGCTAAAAGTCTGGCAGCGCAGTGGGGGCCCAGGGCTAAAGCAGGCTGTCTGCCTGCCCGGGCTCTGCGCTGCTCCCAGAAGGGGCCAGCACATCCCTGTGGCCCCTAAGGGGGTGTAGGGGTCTCTGTACGCTGCCTGCACCCCAAGTGCCGACTCTGCAGCTCCCATTGGCCAGGAACTGTGGCCAATGGGAGGTGCGGGGGCGGCGTGCAGAGGGGGCAGTGTGTGGACTCCCCTGGCCCTGCTTACCTCGGGCAGCTCCCAGTTGGCGGTGCAGCGGGGCTAAGACAGGCTCCATCCCCGCAGCTCCCATTGGCCGTAGTTCCTGGCCAATGGGATCTGTGGAGTTGGCGCTCAGGGCGCGGGCAGTGTGCAGGGCATGGACATACCAGCCACTTCCGGGAGTGGCGCGGGGCCAGGGCAGGCAGGGAGCCTGCCTTAGCCCTGCTGTGCCGCCGACCAGGAGCCACCCGAGGTAAGTGCCGGCAGGCCGGAGCCTGCACCCCTCACCCCCTCCCGCACCCCAATCCCCTGCGCCAGCCCTGAGCCCCCTCCTGCATCCACACTTCCTCCCAAAGATTGCACCCCTCACCCCCTTCAGCACCCCAGTCTCCACACCACCTCCTGCACCCCAAACCCCTACCCCAGGCTCAGCTCAGAGCCCCCTCCCACATTCCGAACCCCTCGGGCCCCATCCCAGAGCCCGTATCCCTTACCGCACCCCAAACCCCTGCTCCAGCCAGGTGAAAGTGAGTGAGGGTGGGGGACAGCGAGCGACAGAGGGAGAGGGGATGGAGTGAGCAGGGCAGGTCCTTGGAGAAGGGGAAGGGCCGAGGCAGAGGGCGGGGACGGGGCAAGAATGTTTGGGTGTGTGTGATCAGATGGTAACCCTAGGAGCAAATGCTGGTAATTATGTTTTTCCAAATATCAGTACTTTCAGTTTCTGTTGTGAAGAAAAGCTTTTCCTTTACTACTTTTGGTTTCAATTAGCTAGCAGGTGCAAAGAGAATATTTTCTTCATTTGGACTAGCTAATTCAAAGTTGAAAAACTGACTGGGAATAGAAAAGAAAAGGTTGGTTTCCTCTTCCAGTCTATGAATAAAAAACATGTGAGAATGAGATCTACTAATTCTACAAATGTGAAGTTGATGGGGCCAGATTTTCAAAGTTATCTAGACACCTTAACATGCAGATAGGTGACTAGAGAGCTTTTCAAAAGCACCTGAAGTTAGGCACTTCTGAAAATCCCACTGGGACCCTATCTGCATCTTTAGGGAACTAAATATCTTTACGCAGGGGTCACATGTTTCGTAACGTGTGTAGGCTAAGCTGTGTGTCACTTTCACATCCCCCTCTTTCAGGAAATCCTGGCAATTTATCCCCCATAGCTGGGGCTCTATGGCCCTTTCCCCCTATGCCTGGGGCTCTGTCTCTCCCTGTCACATGCCAGGATCCTCCAATTTCCTCCTCTCACTACTAGGGTCTCTGTGCCTCATTCCCTCCTCCCCCGCACACCAGGGTCTCCCTTTCTTCCCTCCCCCCCCCGCCCCATGCTAGGGGATGTGTGCATGCCCCCATCCATTCTCCCCATCCTCTACTGCCAGAATTCAGGTGTCAACATGTTAAACTCTGTTGGGAGAATGTGCAGAGAGAAGTTGAGTATTGTTATGCCGGAAAGCTTTAATGGTGCCATCAACCAGGTCTTTGAGCTATAGACAGTTGCAGAGGTGCTTGAAGCAGGAGCTATGCTCACCAGATGGCAGGAGCTCCATGTGTCCTCTATTTTTTTCCCCCTTTCAATTTTCCAGTTTTCTAAAAATCAATAGGATTATGGCATTTGATGCCTAGAATATTCCCTGAAATTTTGGAATTGATCATATGTGGCATTCAAATGTTATCACTTGACAGACAGCAAGCAGTGCTGTTGAGTTGATTGTAAGGAGTAGACACGTTTTTGGCTCAAAAAATGGCCCCTGTTGACCCAAAACAGTCAGTTCAATTCACTAATTACAGTTAATTCCTCCTTTGTATAATAAATCAGTTATATTTTGAGTTTAAAACTGTTTTGGTAAACCTTTTTTTCTGATGTATCCAGCAACTTTTAAGGTAGTTTTTCTTTAACTAATAACAATTTTAAAATGCTGTTTTTGTGCATTTTTAATTCTAATTTCCATTCAAATGCAGATTGACACAAATCCCAAGTAAAAAATTATCCTATAGTAAATAAAACATTTGTCATTCACCATTTTCTAACATAAGAAATTTAAAAATTAAGAATCTGAGTAAATATACAATTACTTAAATAAATGCAAATAGATGCACTGTATCTTCCTGGTTAACAAAAATAAGTGCCAAAGGTAGTGTAAAAAGGATATATATATTTACCGTAGAACCTCAGAGTTACGAATACGTCAGGAATGGAGGTTGTTCGTAACTCTGAATACAACATTATGGTTGTTCTTTCAAAAGTTTACAACTGAGCATTGACTTAATACAGCTTTGAAACTTTACTATGCAGAAGAAAAATGCTGCCCCCCCTTTTTTTTTTTTTAGTTTTTACATTTGACACAGTATTTGCTTTTTTTTTGATCTTGTCTGGTACTACCTGATTGCGTACTTCCGGTTCCAAATGAGGTATGTAGTTGACTGCTCAGTTTGTAACTCTGGTGCTCGTAACTCTGAGGTTCTACTGTAGTTGCAAATCAGTGTTTTATTTGTTATACCAAGCAATGAGAATGAACTGTTCTTTAGGAAAGTAATTAAAAAGTCCAAATACAAAACAAAATTAAAACAGATTATTTAAATGCAGGTTTCCTGCTTGCTGATTTACAACACTTTTTAATATTCAATCAATCCACCCTAATGATAAATGCAACAAATGGCAACTTCTAAGAATGACTGAAATACAATCAATATTTAGGTGATTAGACCCATGTAACCATATCTTTCTGCTTAAGTATAAGTTGTTTCTTAATTTTTTTTTCTTAAGACTCTTAACATTTAATATTGTCATTCATTTTATTGACTTAGGCTCTGAACAAGTGAATACTTAAGCATGTGCGTAATTTTCAGCAAACAAGTAATCCTGTTGATTTCAGTGTGAATACTCATGTTCTTAAAATAAAGAACATGCCTAAGTGTTTGAAAAATTGAGGTCTTAGGGCCCTGTCATGCAAGGTGTTGAGTGTCCTTATCACCCTTTGACTTTAACAGTTCAGGGCACTCTGAAACTTTCAGGACTGGGCCCTTATAGAGAATCAAGTGCTGTAGGCAGTTATTTACAAAATTTACCACTGCCAATTATAAGAGATTGTTTTCTTCTGTAGTATTCTGAATTCCCCCAACAGGACACTATCTGGATGGTTACTAAATATCAATTGCAACATTGTAGGATTTAGAAATTAAAGAAATACTAATACGTTACTGTGATTTTTAGTTATGGTCAAAAAGCTTTTTCATTGTCTATATTGGGTAGACAATAGGTGGACCTCGGGCCAAATCCAGACAGCTGGACGCTTTTGAATGGGCCACAAAATCTTTTTATTTGCTTATTGTCATAATTGTTGTTATTTTTATATTATTTTCTCTGGAGTCTGGACCTTGACTAAAGCTTGACCAAGAAATTTGAATCTAGACAAAAAAAAATTGATTACCCTTTGTCTATATTTTATAGAAGTTAAAGGAGATATCCATAAAATTGTATAAGTAAACTTAACTATGATGCAAAAGGTTGAGATGCACAGCTAGAATGTTTTCATGTTAAACTATTTTTGTCTTTTTCTTTTGTGGTTAAGAATCTCCCAGCGAAAATTCCCAGAGTTTGACTCAGTGCTCAAAGTCTCTGATTGGAGTGAAAAGTTGACAATGCCAAGCCCCGAGAAGAAGTTTATTTATGTTGTTTTGCCTTCTGGACATGGTGCTCACTGTATGTTTGTATACTCAGTTAACAATTTGTTAATATTGCAAAAACTCTCATCTTTCCCCTTTTGCAAAGTGTAACATATTTAACTGACATAAAATCAGTTTTCAGTAAATTTGAATTAGTCAAAATTATAGAATATTAAATTAGATTTTTAGTTATTTATCTTTTGACTATGAGCTTACCCATCAGGAATTAAATGCATGTACATCAGTTTAAAAAAACCCAATAAAATGGATAAATCATTATTTAAATCAAATTACAGTAAGGGGTACCATGGCACGAGATAGTCGTGATGGGAATGGTGCAGAAGGCTCTATAGCTTAGGACCACGGTTTTCAAAAGTTTATTACTATTATCAGGTGCTAATTTGAGAGAACTTTAAATGAGGCTGGATTTCTAGAGGATAGGTACTTGAGCTGACAGCACCATGGGTTAGCTTTTTTGGGGAGCTGGTGACAAGGCCTTCAACTCTAGATTTTGCTTCCATCCTGTTGGTCAACAGTGTTGGATCAGGGGACATTGGTGTTCGTATTTTGATTTTTAGGGTCTTTTGTTTGTTAACCTTTGAAATATTTCATATATAGCAAAATACAACTGTAGTGATAACACTTTTTTTTTTTTTTAAAGACGTCGTAACCCCCCATAAATATAATATGGGGAAAGGAAAGTAATTGGCACAGTATTAATGTGTTCCAGTTTCTTAAGAAATGTATTCAGTGGACAGAACACTTGCATTTATTTTCATATGGGTTATGTTACAAAGTTTAAACTTCTAGTTTTAAGGCTTTTTTTTTCAAAATTTAATACTTAAATCCCCTAGAAACTGTCCAATCAAAGGATAACTCCAGAGGTTTTTCTTTTAATTGGGTGAAATATATTGTAGAAAGCTGTGTAGCCTAGGGGAGCAAGAGGTTTTTCCCATGTCTTTTTCAGCACCATAGTCCCCCAGATTTGAGATATGGGACATCTGCATTGCTTGCCACAATTTTTATTTTTTTATTTTATTTTTAATTTTTTTTTGTTAAATGAAGCTTCCTATTTCAGGTAACCAAAATTTAGCACACTGGGGAATTGAAGCAAATAAATAAGCAAATTCTATTTTCATACTGAATTGTATTTTTTTCTCTTAAGTTATTTATTGTTCTACACACTTAATTTTCTTTGTCCATTATTAGATTTGCAAACTGCCATACAAACTTTACTTGAAAAAGGACCTGGACTACAAGATGCCAAACAATCACAGTTCATCGCTTTCAGAAGGTAGCAGAGCATGTATGCAGACTTTGAAAGAACTCTTGCTAGCATCTTTGTTCTAAAAATGTCTAAAAATTGAGTAAAAGAGACTGGTGGTGGTATTGGCGAAAATAGGCCAGTTATCTTCTCTCTCTGGCTTAGATTTTTTTTTTTAATGTGGAATGTTGATAGCTTAGTTTTCTACTGCTAATTTATGTGGTTCCTTTTGCACTATGTACTTTGCCAGAAACTATCCACATGGGTGTTGGATGTTCATGTTCATCCTGGGGACAAGTAGCTCTCTGCTCAAGGTGCTTTGAGGACATCAAAATTTCACATGCCAGTGGTAGCAATCGAGTGATAACAAGCTGTCTTTCAGACTTGAATTGGAACAGGGTTCCTTATTCAATTTCTGACTCCCAGCTTGTACCCTTGACCAGCTTTATAATCTAATGAAGATGATTTTAGGTCTCCTAAATTCCTTATGATCTATTTTTCTTTCTTCACAATCTAGTCTCGTGTTAATCTTGTTAAGCTGTTCTAGCGCTAAGCAAATAATCATTCTCTACAAGCTTAATTGTCTCTTACCCACCCATATCTCAGCTTTTCAATTTTCCATATTACATTACAAAACATTTGTCATTTTGTAATTTTAATTTTCCAAATAATTACTAGAGTATTCATTGTACACACAAACTAATCTACACTAGGAATGCTGTTGCAAGGGGTCGTGGCCTTATTTGTCTTTTCAGCCAGATCTGTTGCTCCTAAGATTAGTTCATTGCCTGGGCACATTTCTTTAGATTGCAATTGCATTTTTACTTATTTCTAGACTGTGTTAGTATCTAAGTGGCTGGTAATTTAAAAACCCCCTCCAAACTCCAAAACCTTTTGCCTAGTGCAAATGAGACACAAAATCAATAGTTGAGAGGGGCTTTATTTCTGACTTTGCCTCAGGTTTCTTGTGTGACATTGTGCTAGTCATTTAACCTCCCAAAGTGGGATAATATCTGCCTGACTCTCACAGGAGTGCTGTGAAGCTAAATTAATTATTTGTAAAATGCTTTGAGATCCTCTACTGTAAACCATGTAATGTAAACTCAAACAATATTAAGATAAATTGTTGATTTAACATCCAGTAGGAACCAAACCTGCAGCATTAAATTGTAAAGAAAATTGATCTTATTCTGATGCTTTTCTTGGGGATGTCTATGGAAATTTGGAGTTGTAAAAACCCCAAATTCTAAAACAGTAGTAGTGATTTATGGATATTTTACCTATATTTTATTTATATTCTGAACCCAAAGTGGCTCTGAAGTTGTTTTTAATTTCTCTGGTCTGCTTTGAAGAGGATCTTGCAGAATATTTATCATCACACCTAAGTCCTGTAAATTCTAGCACACAGTTATTGATTAAGCTCCATTTAAATGTACTATTTAGCAAATCTTGTGGGAACATAATCTGCAATGACAAGTTTTTAAGAGTTCTTAAGATCTCCAAGTTTCCAGAAAAGAAACATTAAAATGCTGGACTCCTTTTAGTTCCAAAGAGTCTATGGACAGACAAGCACTAATACCTGAATATACTAATTCTTGTTTTGCTGTGCTGTCTTGGAAGCAAACCCAATTTACCTAGATATATTTTGCAAGCTGCTTGCCTTACTTCTGGAATTAAAATAAAACAAAACTGTTCTTTTGCAGCAGCATCTTTTGAACTACCTCTGAATTAAAACACTTTTCAGTAGAAGATTGTCACTGCTAAAAATCAGAGGGGTAGCCATGTTAGTCTGAATCTGTAAAAAGCAACAGAGGGTCCTGTGGCATCTTTAAGACTAACAGAAGTATTGGGAGCGTAAGCTTTCGTGGGTAAGAACCTCACTTCTTGCATCCGAAGAAGTGAGGTTCTTACCCACGAAAGCTTATGCTCCCAATACTTCTGTTAGTCTTAAAGGTGCCACAGGACCCTCTGTTGCTTTTTACTGCTAAAAATGTGTCCTCTTTCAGTTTGAACACGCTTGTTTCTAGATAAATGTTCATTATTCTTTGTACATGCCTCGTGTTGCTAAGGTTGTGCCTCTTTCTTGTTTGTAGGCAAGATTGTGATCTAATAAATGAACTCTGTTGTCAGCACTATTCAAAACATTTAACCAGGTAAGACAATGTTTTGAGTCTAAAGGTGTATAGTGTGTATACATTGCCTTTCCTCTCTTTATCCATCTTATTTTATGTTTTAAAATTGTTTCACACAAGGGGCCAAAATTCTAAATACACTACATGAAAATATTTTAAACTTTTAAAAATTGGTTTTAGATATAATGTCTTTGGTGATTGTACAATGCCTTGTTTGGCATGTCCTCTAATTGCCACCTAAACAGCCAGCAGAAATGAGCATAAAGATTCCGTGACACATCTGTAAGTTTGATGAAAACCCCTGGGTCGTGGCTATTGATCCTCTCTCTCGTTAAAAGAGGTGTTCATGTCCAAAAGCCAAAAATTTTGTGAGGAATTGCTGATCATTAAAGTTGACCTGCAAACAGTTATTTTAAAAAAATTGAGGTAGTGCTATTTTTTTTGTTGCTGTGACAGGACACGCCTATCATACTCCTGCCACTTCCACAAACGCATACCACTTTGAGACCTTCTTATTGACAACGTTAGCATATACTTTATTTACAGTGTCTCAGTCCCTCCACCAATACAGATCAGTGCATCAACACCTTTGCACTGTTTTCCAGCTTTCTGGTCTCTCTCCTGACAAGGGTTGGATTGAAGTGCCTCTACTCCGAGAACTCCCCTAGAAGGCTCCCCTAGCTGCCTCTCTCTCTCTCTCTCCCCCGCCCCCTCCCTCTTCCAACACCACCTTCCTGTGCTCTTTTAACCCCAGTTATCAGGCCCACTTGTTACCAGTGAGGCCCTCCCTGAGGAAACCTAACTGGTGCTGATAGTGACCAGAGTGCTGAAGCAAGGTCCACCTCTCAGTACTCTGTCACAGCTGCTTTATGTTTTTAAAGAGGTTCTGAAATGTGTTTTATACTTTTTTACCTTAGAAATATGAGCAATTTCAAGTGTGGTCTTCCTTGTTTTTTCTTTAGGTCTTTTTGGAGAATCTTAGAGATTCAACACCTTAACTGAAGGGGTGGGTTGCTGAATCTTTAACCTTTCTTCCAAATTTTTGCCACAAACTAAAAAAACAAAACAAAAAAACCCCACTATTTAACTTCAAAGTCAAAAAAGTAAGCTGCAAATGTTTGGGGCTTTTTAAAACTGGGCATGTGCCTTTTTTTTCTTCTTGGCTTTATGGTGTACAAAGAAGGCATTAAAGGCTTTTTAAATGTTTTTTTTTCCGCCCAGCCCCTCTGTTAGACACATCAGGAATGTCAAGTTTTTCCTTCTTTAGTTTTTCTGGAGGATGTTTCGGATGTCTGAGGGATGTTTTCAACAACAAAAGTTAAATAGTCTGACTGAAAATCCTTTTCTCTTTTAAGAACTTAGCTTTCATTCTCTACTTTTATGGTGTCAACAATTGCTAAGGTTAAGATTTTGTCCTGGTTACTTTTAGTAAAAGTCAGACAGGAAGCGAGCAATAAACAAAAATTCACTGAAGCCTGTAAACTGTCCTTGACTTGTACTAAAAACAACATGGCGGCAGGGGGGAGGGTGGAACTGACAGTCCAAGTGGTGGGTTGGCTCTGAGCCCTGCCGCTGGGGGTTTGTATGGGGAGGGGTAATCCAGCCCCCACCATAGCCACGGGAGCTGAAGCCGAACAAGTCGTGGAGGTTCGTTAAAGTCACGGAATCTGTGACTAAATCTTATCCTTACATTGCACTTGTTCTCCAGTCACCATAATCTTTTAAGAAGTGTAGGATCTACATTTTTAATGTCAAAGACTGCGGGGGGAGGGGAGTCAAAATGCTTTGACTTTTTTTACCCATAAAAACCCAAAATAGGGTGCAAACTATATATTTTTTTCCTTTGCAATTTACTTGTACTTTTAATGGCTGCCATACTTACTTACAATCATGATATGGCTTTGCAGAGCTCCTTGGGTTTCTAGATCTGCAAGGCTCTCGTGGTTTTTTGTTTGTTTGTTTTTAAAAAAGACCCATCCTTTCTATCTTCTGATTTAAAATGTGTATGTGACTTCAACTTTTGTGAAACATTTTCTTCTGGCACAGGAGTGCCAGACTCATTCTGTGCAGTGGACTGAACTCCATTTTTAATTGACTTGGGGCCAGGGTATAAATTTAAACTATAGATTAAGGGTAGTAAATAGTTTTATCTCCTGTTGGTATAAGTGAGAGAGAGGACTGCATAAATTGCTTGGGTAGATTATGATCTCTGTGTAGTAACCAAACTTCTAATTATTGTTTGTCCAGGGGGAAAATATGCTCACCTTTTAGGATGATTCCTGTTCCTGCTCATTGCCCCTCTTCCATCCCAAACTACCTGCCTATCTCCTCTCATTACTTGCCTTTCTTCTCTGTGCATTGCATTTCTCTCTTGGAGGCAAGTCCCTTCCACTCCCTTCTCTATGCCAGCTGCTAAAATGATCAGTTACAAAGTAGTCATGACTTCAGCATTAACCCTTCAGTGAGATAGTAGGAAGCAGGAGAGTTCTTACCTCTTGGAGCCATCACTTCAGATGGCCCTTCAGAAGCGAACACTGCATTTGTTTATATTTGGAAGGTTATCTTCACAATCATGAAGGCTAGCAATTTTATTTTTAAATGAAAGCTTAGTGTGCATATCTGAATTGGTCATATGAGCCACACAAATACATTGAGTGAGTTGCAAATAAATATTTGTTTTATTTCAATTTTTCCCCCCTCTCCTGATTCAGAAACCATAAAAATCGACTGGTGTTCCAATGTGATGACAAAATTTGTTCCACAAGGAATGCCTATCTCAAGGACCTTCTTCCAAAAAATAACACAGCTTGCACAAGGGAAAGTGACTCTCAGAATCCTAATCAATGTGAATGCAGATGGTGTTGTAGAAGAAAAGCCTTCTTGAGTGGACAAAAGCTACCTGGTGATCTTGGGGGCAGTGCTGAGGATGACAGACGATTGTGCAATGGAGAAATATTTTTTATAACAGATGTATGTATTATTTTGAAAGATTAATAATTAATTGTTAGGATTTACCACAAAATTGCATTAGCACCCCCGTTTTCACTTTCCTGCTAAGGCCACCATTGCTCGTGAGGGGGTTAGAGGGTGGTCCCATCCCAGAGGGGGATGAGGAGGTGGTAGGCTGGTTCTATCCTGGGAAATATGGGCATGGGGCAGTCCTCACTAATGACCAGGGCAGGGATTGGGGCTTGGCTCATTCTGTGCTCAGCTCCAGCTGCTGTTGCGGCTTCCTATCTAGTTGGTGCTGCCAACATGGGAATTAGGAGCCTTGGCCTGGCCCTGCCCAGCCTGCCCCACAGTGGCCCCTGCGGGCCTGAGGTAGATACTGCAATGCTGGCTGGAAAGGAGATATGAGAAGTCTGGGAAGGGGCAATTGGTCCCCTGCCAGTAGTAAATGAGGCCCCTGCTGGTAGGGACAGCAGTCAGAAACCAGAACTTCTGGGGACTAGTAGCAGGAGTGGAGACAAACCTGAATAAAGGACAGCACGTTATTTCCTCACAAGGTGTTTGTTTTGAAATAGGGGAGGAGTCAACTGAGACTTCTATCATCAAATATGCTTTCTTTGGATTAAGCTTATTGTGCAGTTATATTGTTATTGAAAGAACTGGGTCAGTTAATATGATTCCATAGCTACAGCCCTTAAACTGTGTACATGTTGATCTGATTTCTACTACAAACTGGTCATGAAGTCTCCTCACATGCTGGTTCTATAGGATGTAGAAGTCGATAAGTGTCGTTTATTGACCATCAGCAGCACGTATGGCTCCAAATTCACTGTGGTGTATGAGGCACTGAGGAGAGAGTGTCAAATAAGGCATGCATGGGCCAGAACTATTCACACATTTCAGGTAAGAACTGTAATTCAGCACAGTTATGTCAACCAGTAAAAAGCCTGACTGCACTGTTGCTCTGTAATTTCATGGGAAAGATTTGGTTTCAGGAGCACCCTTAAGACATAAAGTCCTTGAATATGAACTTAGGAACAACTTTGGGGTGTGAGGGAAGGAAGTGGTGTGATACTGGCTCTTTGGTTTACCCTCCCACTGGGATTAGCTGAGTAGCTTTGCAGTAAGTCTGAATGAAGGCACTGATTGATCCAATGGAAATTAACTTACTATCCAGTAACTCTTAAAAAAAATAAGTTACACAAGTTGACTAGTCTAAATCAAATTCCATGATAGACATCCAGTATTATGAAGTATTAGTTAGTCCATTTTCTGTAGCCAAGTGGGATGTGTGAATGTAGTTGACTTGTTTTGTTATTGTGGACATGGAAATTGAAACAAACTTTGAGAAACTAAAACTTTGAGAATTTAGGCAAAGAAGAGTCTCCTTCATTTATAGACTTGTACAGAATCTTGCCTTCTAGTCCAACTTTGTCTACATACTAGTATGCACCTATGTAAGTAACATAAAAAATACAGCCCAAAATTCATGACCATACTTCTGTAGTTAACTGATGGCACTTCTCTAGTAAGCCCTTGTTTCTTGTTATTTTAAATACTTTTAATTTGTTAAGAGTTCTTAAAAACCTGTGTGTGTGTTTCAGGGTTCAGAGGAAAAAACAATTGTCTATGTAGTCGGGAATGCAGGCCCACAGCACTGGCAGCATGTATACACAGCTGTGACTCGAGGATGCTGCCGGGTCTATATTGTGGCTGAAGAGACTCAACTCAGGAAAGCAGTTACTACGAAGGGCTTTCCCAGAAAAACTCGCTTACAGCAACGTTTAAGAGAGACCTTTGCAGAAATGAGTGACTCTCCAGAACAAATGTCATCTCACCTAAACGGTTGTTGGCAAAGTCAAGGGCATGATACTCAACCTGGTCCCATTTCAGTAACTGAGGATATTCCCCTCTCTTCTGTACTTGTTGAAGATGACTTCATTAAAGCAGAAGAGTCTGCAGTTCTTAATGACATACAAACTAATAATGGACAGTGGAGTACTGCTGAACTGGCCAGTGCAGGTAGTGAGACTCCCGTTAAATCAAATGGATGTAAAAGACCAGGCAGTTTTACAGATAGTTTTGAAAGTCCTTCAAAAGTTACTATGGTAAGAAGCCCTTTAAAGAGTATTTAAAATAAAACTTTTGCATAGAGCTGGTTGAGAATTCTTCAGCTAAACATTTTGGCAGAAAATACAGTTTCACCAAAACCAAAACTTTTTGTGGGAACATATCAGTTTAATTAATCTTTTGTTGGGAAAGTTTCCTCAGGTCTCATATGGAATGAATGAGAGGATGAAGCTTGTCATACAGTCTGAGTAATTAATGGTTACTGTTTAAACTAGTTATGATCTTAGAAGTAATATTTGATAAATTGTTATTGATCGCACTGGCTCTTTGACTTGCTCAAAATGCATTAATAATTGATGGCTATAAACAACAACAAAAATTGTAGGGGCTGACCTGTGCAAAAGTACAATATTAATATAAACCATGCAAACTTCTTTTATACACATTAAATTATACTAAAGATAATTAACATTTACAAAGACAGTCTCTCCTGGGGTTTGCCACTTGTATATTGTTTTTTGAAAATAATTCTAAACTACCTCTGTCATTAATGAAAATCTTTTCTTGAAAATAATCCTTGTGTTGCATAGTAACACTTTACTATATTTTAAGTGCTATTTCTAGGCCTCATCACTCTCTTCCTGTTTGTTTGACAGGTAAATAATGAAGACTCGCCCCTTGCGTCAACCAGACTTCAGAATCTGACTTTGAGGAGCCCAACTCCCAAGCAGCTTTTTGGACCTTAACAATCAAGTACATTAATTAATATGACACTTAAATATGTTATACAACTCCAAATAAGGTCTTGGAACAGAGAAATAAAGTCTGCGGGATCGGTCTTAATTTTTTAAATATGTTGCAAGTTTTTTTAGGAGCATCACTTTTAATAGGGACTTTTTATATTCAGAATTTAGCTTGTGTTTAGCAGAAGATATGGCCAACTTTTTCTTGAAGGCTAAGATGTCTGTATATTATCTTTTTAATGTAGCTGAACAAATAACTTTGAATAGACGCTTTGAGGTCCTAAAGATCAGTTGTTCAGAAGAAGGGAATTTCTTGGCCCACAGTATTTAAGCCTATATAAATTGTTGATGCAACACAAAGTATTATGGTTTGATAATGGCAGTCAGTTCATACCCATGTATTTTGACTAAAGACTTACAATGCAGATTTTTCTTCTGTACCCATATCCTCTAGGTAACTTCATGGAAGTTTGGGTGTGACAAATAAGTACTAACTAGCTATCGCCACCATACAGGATCATGAAGTTGGGTCAAATCTTGCTCTGAACAGATTGTAATGAAAAATAGGGCTCTTAAAGTGTGGTCAAGTGCTAAATGTGAATTCCTTTTAATACCCTGGCTAATTACTTGGCTTGATGCACTGGAAGTTTCCAGATAGGGAAAATGTGCAAATTTAAACTTCTGACTGACTAATATATACTGAAATTTGGATGGCTAATATTTGCCTAGCACAGTGGGGTCCTGGTTCATGACTGGGACTTCTAGGTTCTGGAATAATACTTTGCATATTTCATCATAGATTATTTAAAATCCCAATATTTGCCTAAAGAGGCTTGCATTTCTTGTCTTAGCTACACTTGTGGTAGACATACTTAAAAAATAAATTTTATTTTTTAATAAATTAAAATAAGATCGTGGAATGTGATATCTCTGCAATAGTTTGTAAATATGCTATTTTTCCTGCTGTCCAATACATGCAAATACCGTCTCGTTGTTAAGAATACTGTCTTTAAATCACTGTTTATTCCATTTTATACAGTTTTTTCCATACAAATATTTGCAAGTTTGAGTTCCCAAAATCCATACATAGACGATAAATATCATGCTATTAAAGTATTAAATTTGTACAAAAATACTTTACAGTTTAATACTTATTTGTTACAAATAAAAATACATATTTAAGTGACTCATGAACTTTCTGTTTTTACATGATTTGGGGTTAAATTTCATAGTGACTGATCTTCTGGCAGTGCTGAAACATGAATGAAACATTACGCTTGTGTGTGCAGGGCAGGTGAGCTTGTTCATATAAAGGAAAACAGTATGGGGGGGATAGTCTTCCTAAACAATTTATATTGACCCAAAACAAATCTGGTTGTAAGATAATTGATTAGATATGAAGACTCTACAATTAATATACAAATTCAGTATCTTTATATTCACCAAATAACAATAATTACCAATGACCACTTGAATACTGGAACAAATCAAAGCAGCTGCTGGTGAGCATTAAAAGCAACTGGCAGTATTTTATTGCTTCAAGAGGGGTGGGTAGGAAAGAATTTGTAAAATGTATTTACAATTCAAATTTCTAAAAACTTGTAAGGGTAAATATGAGAAGGCTGAAAACAAAGCCTTTGTAAATGGACTTCATAAATCTATTAGTAACCCTCAAGAAACTGTTTTATTAGTAAATAAAAATTTAGATTTGTATGTCCTTGTATGAATCATTCTCATTTGAATGGATTTTACATCAGTCCTCCATTGCTACTAGTAGTTGATATAATATAAACATTTCCACTTGACTGTTTTTTTAAAAAAAACCTTTAATTTGATTTAAATAACTCATTTGTTTTACTTCTATTCAGTAATCCTTCATCAGAAGTTTTCCACTACCTAAAACATCTCTGCTTGAAATGAATCTTACCGTTCCAAGACACATCCTGTCTAGTACTTCCATTGCATAGGGAATAACGAAACTTCTAATAAAATTGTAGCACAGTTGGGCAGTACACTTGACCACCACACACTGCAGCTTCCTACGTGCATCTTTGCTAAAACACTTGAACAGCACTTAGTGTGATGGCTGCACCCCTCATGCTGCAGCAGAGCAATGGTTCACAAAACACTACTCTAACAGTATTGGGGCATCATACCCCCATCTCATGATCCCCCTCACTCAGTAGCCAGCTAGCTGTATTAAAAAAACCAAAAGCCAGACACCTGTGGAAAAAGAGACTAATTCTATTTTTTCTGCTCAAAAACTAATGATGCGGTTAAGACAGGAAGGAGCAATTCAGTCTCTTTTAAAGGTCTCCCTTTCTGCTACTTCAGGAAAAAAAAATAAGGCCATTAGCCATTTTCTTTACTCAATATCATTCTGACTTCTCTGACATCAGGCTTAGTTTGGAATGGCACTACTCAGTGGCCATCACATTAAAAACCAAACTCAATTTTTAAAGTAATCCATGAAGTAACACGAGCCTTGAGAGGGATAGTCAGACCCTCTGGGCTTTTTAATGCCACATGACATCTGTGCCTCAAGTGTCACAGAAATTTGAAAAGGGGATTTAGCACCATATATTGTCTTTCATTTCGGAGTATCCCACTAAAATAACTTGTTGCTATATTGTGTTTGTAGGATCTCGTGTCTCCACACTAGCAGTATGTCCGGTTTGTTGAAGGAAGGCATTATTTTGGTCATTCCATTCCCCACCTGCTAAAGTTTGTTGATCTGAGGTCACCTTCTGAGAGGCCAGTGGGTTTCTGCTAATAACCAGTTCCAGTTTATTGCCAGATTCTGCTATGAGAGGCACAACTAGACAGCAGTCAAAATCTCTGGTACGAACATGATTTACCTGAAAGGTTTAAAGTGTTGGTTTAGTTTTATTACTGTTTTAGATTTAGAAAAGAAAGCAACATAACACAAGTATCTAAGAAACACAGATGTTCTCTAAAATATGACTAGAATATGTGAGTGGCCCTGTAGATGAAGTACACAAAATACAGAAAATGCAACAACATGGTTTAAGGAGAACAGAAAACTTTTTTCTAATCAGTATTTACCATATTGCAGTTAATGCTAGTACATATCATGTGGTCATGATTATCAAATAAACATGACTTATTTCTCACTTGCACTAAGTTCACTAATATAAATGTAACAGACTATTTCTAACATTTCAGTCCTCTTAAGCAGGTTTTCCCAGAAGTGTGTCTTATGAATAATTAAAACATTTATATTGAAAGTGGTCGGAGAGAAAAGTTTAAAAAATAATTTCCAACCCATTTTAGACTCTAGTTTCAAAATAAATGTTTGGAGTAAGTTCTGCTAATGTAGTAGTTGGTATCTGGTGAGAGCAGGGCCTGCACTGATCAGATACGTGACTGACTACTCATTTGTAGACCACATACAGCAATATCTCAAGAACAATGAGCACCACAAACTGAGGAAGAACATACCACAGGAAAGTTGGAAATTTCTGCTCAACAGTAAGCATTTGTTACTCCTGGGGGAATTCTGTGCATGTGCATAATTTATGTCCCCTGCAGAAAAATGACTTTCTCACAGGGAAGCCACCAGAGTAGTCATGCGACCCTCCCCAGCACTATGTTTCAGGTGCGCAGGGCAGCCAGCAGAGAGGTAGATCAGTGGGGGGCGGGGGCGGGATTGGGGAAGACCTGGCTGGTGGCACCTACCCTGTGCTGGGCTCAGCTGCGGACAGGACTTTGACTTCCTCTTCCCCTGCATGGCATCTGGGGCCAGGTCAGACCCACCCTCAGATTTCTCCAGCAGTTGCAGGAAGCTCTGCAAACTCTTCTCTTCCCTCCCCTCACCCCTCCCACTTCCTGCACCCATCGCTCCTCAGCTGCAGGGAGGGAACCCTGTGCAGGGACCTGCTCCCTCATCTGCCCAACCCCTGGGCATCCAGACCCCTCATACAGAGACCTTCCCAACAAGCCTCCCCCCACCCCCACACTCAGAACCCTCCCAATAAGCCCCACTCCCACAGCATCTGGTCCACCACACCCAGACCCCCACACACACCTGGTTGAGCCCCAACCACATTCACCTGGACCCCCCTGCAGAGTCCCATTATCATTGCATCCAGATCACCCCGCTCCCAGATTGCCCCACATAGAACCCTCTCAACCCACACCTAGACCCCCCACACCCATTAAGCCCCTCCACACTTGGATCCTGCCCTGCTGAGCCTGCCTGCCCACACCTGGTGTGCCTGACACAGAGGGGCAGGGCCCCGAGGTGTTTCTGGGGTGGCCCGGTCATAGCGCTGTGTCAGGGTTGGGTGCAGCCTCACCACTGAGTCTGTGTCCTGGGGTGGGGGCAACTGCAGAGTGATCTCCCACCTCTGTGCAGCCAGTGGCCTGTGCTCCCTAATGCCATGCTGGTGCCTCCACATTTATTTGACAAATAACATTTGCAGAATTCTGCAGCATTTTAAAATACTGTGCGCGCAGGAGTAATTTGTACACCACCTTGGTGTTTTGAAGTATCTGACTTCATAAAATAGTGTTATAGAAAATCTAGCTTAAATATTTTTAGAGTTTAAAATGTGTTGGTACTAACTTTTCTCATCTGGATGTCTGACTTATTTCCAGTTAATTACTATGAAGCAGGATAACTGAGATACACACTATTGTACCAATAAACACATTTAAAACGCTAAAAAGTTGCACTTATTTTCTAGAGGGTGGTATAAACAGAATATGGGTAATATGGTCATTCCAAACAAGTGACAATAAAAACATTATACTCTGTTAAACATTTTATATATAAATCCCATACAATATTTATCACATACACCTTTTACAAAGTAAACTTTATACAAAGTACGGATAGTGTTACCTGTAAAAGTCTGTCATATGGCTTCAAACCACCTAGATCCCCAGGTCCAGCTGGTCTAATGTTTTTAACATATACGCCTTTTTCCAATAAACCATCTGAGACACTGAATCCAAAGTCCTCTACGTCTGACTCCTTGTACAAAGTTACCTGTTGAAATAATTTAGAAATAACAAAAGGAAAAGATTTGCCGCATTTCTGCACTGCTGCATATTATCACAGGTTTTTCTCTCAATGTTTATTTCATACTAGAATGATCATTTCCCTATTATTTTGCATGTCTAATTTGGAATGTCATTTGTGAAGTTCTTTTTGGAAAACTGTTAGGAGAATATGAATAATGTTTTTGTATATTTCAATAATAATCCTGAATCACCTCTTGTTAATCAACTTTTTTACCCTGTCTCCTTGGACATATTTTCTAGCCTTTTTCTGTTTAGTTTCTCTGTCATCTTATTTTCTGATTGCCCAGATCATTAGATACATGAATTAGAATGCTTTGCTAATCAGTTTTTGTTATGTACTCAGCACCTTTAAGATGTAGTACTTGTGTGTGGGCTAAATAACTGTGTGCATAGCAAACAAGCAGGTTCTGCTGTGCCACTGACTTCAATATGTGGGAGGCTATACAAAAGTTTGAGTTCTCCCTGATCGAGGAGGGGAAAACAGTGGCGAGAGCCTCCTTACAGGTAGCTCCTGGATGCGGCTGATTCTGCAGCCAGATCTGTGGCCACAGTAGTGACCATGCACAGAAGCTCATAATTGCCATTGTCAGGTTTTCTCCAAGGGGTACAACAAACCCTCCAAGATCTCCCCTTTGACGGGTCCATGCTCTTTTAGGAGCAAACCAATGCTAGGCTCCATAGGTTTAAGGACTCTAAGGTGACCCTGAAATCCCAGGGGCTATATACTCTAGCAGTATCCAGGAAGAATTACAGGCCCTAACAGATTGTCTGTTACTTTGCCCAGCCAGCCAGGAACGGCCGAGGCAGAAGAACAGACATAGACCTCTTTCGCCGGCCTCAGGAGGGCTGATGCAGATCGCCTCCAGACTCCCGGGGAGCTCGAAACACTCGTTTTGATGAGATGCTCGAGGTTGACATCTCAATCCTCACAATATCGAATCCAGTTACTCCTCTTTTTTCGAACCACCTGACCCACTTCTTCAATGCCTGCACCCACATTACTTCGGACTGTTGGGTACTTAGCTCAATAGAAGTGGGATATACCCTCCAGTTTTTGTCTACCCTGCCTTACTCCCTCCCCCCCTTTTCACGAGCAACTATTGGAACAAGAGGTCCAATCCCTCCTTCAGGTGGGAGCCATAGAAGAGATTCCGCATCACTATTCCCATTACTTCCTAATCCCAAAACCCAAGGATGCTCTCAGATCTATTCTAGACCTATGTGGTCTCAACTGCTATCTCAAGAACTTAAAGTTGCACCTCAATGACTGGCTAATCAAAGGCCAATCCAGAGCTTAGGTGTAATCCAACATGCATCTCATACAATTGACCTTCTTGGCCCTAGCCCTACTGATAAACACACAGAAACCCACACTTATCTCAGTGCAGAGGACAGAGTTCATCAGTGCGGATTTTGACTCCATCCAGGCTTCCGGAAGACCGGTTTTGGGCAATTCACAGTCTTGATAAAATCCCTCCAGACTCATCCAATCACAACAGCTTGAAAATGTCTGAGTCTTCTGGGTCACATAGCATCATGCACTTACACAGTTTAACACCTGAGACTGCGTCTCAGACCTCTCCAAATCTGGCTGGACACAGTACGTTCACCTTTGCGACATCATCTGGATTGGTGTTCACCATCCCTGCTCAAGTCCTCAGTTCACTGACTTAGTCGCTGAACCACCGCGTGGTCTGTGCGAGAATGCCCTGTTCACAGCCCCCAACCATCGATGTCTCTGACGTGTCAGCACTGGGCTGGAGAGCCCACTTAGGGTCCTTCAGGATTCAAGGCCTATGGTCCCCAGAGGAGCTCTCTCTTCATATCAATGTCAGAGGACTCGGGGCAGTCCATCCTCTTAGGCCTCTCGGTAGAGAGCCCTCTCCTGCTGCCGGAACACTCGGACCTGATCTCCTGCAACCATGATTGGTACTACACCCGAACCTCAGCTCTCTTCATTTGACAGCCTGTAAGCTCCGTAGATGGATCTTGAGGAGCAAGCGTGCTTGGAGCAAGTCTGTAGAGTCCTGCTAGGCATTAGAAAACCTCCACCAGGACCACTTACATTGCAAAATGGAAACGATTCTCCATCTGGTCCTCCCAATACGGAGTTCTGCCCAAGCAATCCTCATTGCAATGCATATTGGAGTATCTTTTGCTTCTGAAATAATAGGATTTGGTTGTGTCTTCAGTCACCTAGCAGCCATTTCAGCATTTCATCCCCGGGTCGCCAACCGGTCTGTCTTTTTGCACAACATGGTTAACTATTTTCTTAAATGCTGGAGAGATTATACCACCAGGTAAGAGAGTTGATTCCACTCTGGGACCTAAATCTCAAATTGTCAAAGCTTACCGGTCCCCTGTTGGAGCCACTGGCAATGTGCTCATTAGTGCACCTCTCCTGGAAAGCGGCTGCCTCAGTAGCCATCACCTCAGCCAGAAGGGTTTTGGAGATCTGTGCCCTCACATCGGAACCCCCATATATGATCTTCTTTGAGGATACAGTGCAGTCAAGCAGTCTTTCTGCCAGCTGCATGCGAACAGAGAGGAACAGTGCCTACACTCCGTGGATGTTAGATGTGCCCTGGCATTCTACATACAGAGAACCAAACTGTTTTGCAGATCAACCCAGCTCCTTCCTGTCTCCACCAAGAGGATTTCACCCTGGATTACATCATGCATTCATGCGTGTTACGAGCTGGCCGGCGTTGCACCTCCAGCTAACCTGACCACTCATTCCACAAGATCGCAGGCCTCCTTGGCCACCTTCCTAGCTCAAGTCCCTATTCAGTACATCTACAGGGCAGTAACCTGGTCTTTGGTGCACAGATTCTCGATGCACTATGCCATCACACAGCAGGCCAGAGACTATGCCAATTTCAGCAACACAGTCTTGCAGTCAGCTTGTTCTTGAATTCCAAACCCACTGGTTCCATAATTTTGAATTTCATAGATTTTAAGGCCAGAAGAGGGACTATTAGATCTTCTAGTCTGATCGGTATAACGTGGGCCATAGAATTCCATGCAACTACCCTGCATTGAGCCCAATAACTTGTTTGACTAAAGCACCTCTTCGTGAAAGGCATCTAGTCTTGATTTGAAGGCTTCAAGAGATGGAGAATCCACCACTTCCTTTGGTAGTTTTGTTCCAAGCATTAATCATCCTCCTGGTTAAAAAATTTGTTCCTTTTTTCCAATTTGAATTTTTTCTGGCTTTAATTTCCAGCCATTGGTTCTTAGTATGCCTTTCTGTAGTTCAGCGACTCCCACAATTCTGTGATAGTATGATGCAAGAGCCAAAAAATGCCACCACAGAAATACCAAGGTCAAGACGGCAGTGGCAACATTAGCAAAAGGTACACTAATACCATTGGAATGGATTTTCTTTCCCAAGGATACATCCAACAGAAGGGATTTTGAAGCTTCCTTGGCTACTCTCCGGGCATCCCCAGCAGTGACCTGGCTGGATGACCTAACAGCCCTAGACAAGAACTATCCTGACTTCAGAGAACTGGATCAGACTGCAAAAACAGAGATGGCAGCACCATCTCTTAAGAGCTCACTATGACAACAGGCTGTGCTCTGGCCTGATGAATCAGGAGACTATTTTTTTGGACCTGGTATTGGAACCTCCACTGCATCTTCCAGTGAGAAAGGGCATCCTTCACCAACGTCCCATCCTCCATTCAGACCCTGGCAGTATCTAGCTGGCAGCTTGGCTGTTGAGAGGGAAGTGCTAATTGCCCTTGGATTCTGCTGACCTCCAGAAGAACTTTAATGCTAAAGGCTTATTCTTCCATCTGGGAACAGTACAGTTCATATCAAGAAAACAGAAACCCCAAGGACACTGGTATCACAGCTATGCAGGACAGTATGGAAAAGGGACTTCAGCCCAGCACTATATAGCCCATAAGGTGTCAACCATAAGCACTGTTTTGCACCCAGGGTCCTTGGTCTCATTAGCTGACAGTCCTCAAGTTTGAAGATTTCTCAGAGCAGCTAGATTTGCAGTCAGACCAAATTTTCCTAAGTGGGGCCTGCCACTTGTGCTAAAAGCCCTAACTGCCCACCCTTTGCTTCAGTGACAACACTCGCACCATTCTACCCATCCATTAAAACCTGCTTTTTGGTCACTCTCATGTCTACTAGCTGAGTCTTGGAGTTAGCCGTTCTATCTATCCAGGAACCACGGTGTTTTTCAATGACAAGATGGTTCTAAGGGTGCTAGGATCTCTTACCAAAGGTGAATTGATCTTTCCATGCTTCATAGGGAGCAGTGCTTTCATCATTCTGTCCAAATCCACAGCACCCTACTGAAAAGCTGTGAGATAATCTGGACGTAGGCAGAGCACTAAAGATATACCTCAAGCACACTGAATTGATCCATCATCTTATTTGTGTTCTTTGACCCAAAGTGCCAAGGTCTTCAGGTACCCACACTATCCCTGGCAGATAGATTAAATTATGCTTTCTGGAGGCATCAGGCGAACCTAGTCCTGAAGAAAGCAGAGCACACTCTACAAGATCCCTGGGAAGATCATGTGCAGAAAAATCTTGTACTTTGACTGAGGAAGTCTGTAGGGCATCAATATGGTCCTCCATCAACACATTTATTAAATATTATAAGGTGGACTTTCTGTCCTCTGCAGAGGCCTTCTTTGCAAGGAAAGTAGTGCATGTGGTGATCAAAGAAAACACAAAAACAACAACAAAAACCAAACTTGTGCCATTCATGAATTTACTTAGGAGGCAAGATTTCTCTATTTCAGTCTGTTTCTTTATCTGTCCCTATTTAATGTTTACTGCTTGCAGCTTCCCCTATGAAGGATTGGAAAATATGCCTTATAGAGATAGAAGTCACTGCTTAAACTGAAGGTTAATCTGTTTATTTTATCAAAGAGAAGGTTAAGGGGTGACTTGATCCCAGTCTGTAAGTACGTACATTGGCAACAGAAATTTAATAGA